TTCAAAACCAAAAAGTCACAGTTATGTCAGTATTTTAATGAACTGAAGCAAGCTGACTGGATTTAAAGCAACCTGGCTTAAATCATGCTGGATGATTTTTCCATTTTGGGAAAAATGTATTTGGGTTTAAAATGAATGTGGTGTCATTAATTTTTAGTTCTGGTAATTTCAGTACAGTATAAAGATGATTTGAGTATCTTTTTTTAACCACTGACTAATACTCCATTGTATGAATGTGCCATATTTTCTTTATCCCAATTTTTAGTTGAGGGGCATCTAGGTTGCTTCCAGGTTCTGGATATTATAAATAATGCTACTATGAATATAGTTGAACAAGTGTCCTTGTAGTATGACTGAGCATCTTTTGGGTATATGTTCAAGAGTGGTATTGCTGTGTCTTAAGGTAGATTGATTCCCAATTTTCTGAGAAACTGCCAAACTGATTTTCAAAGTGGCTGTACCAGTTTGCACTTCCACCAGCAATGGAGGAGTGTTTCCCTTATTCCACATCCTCTCCAACATAAGCAGTCATCAGTGTTTTTGATCTTAGTCATTCTGACAGGTGCAAGATGGTATCTCAGAGTCATTTTGATTTGCATTTCCCTGATGGCTAAGGATATTGAGCAATTATTTAAGTGTATTTCAGCCATTTGAGACTTTTCTATTGAGAATTTTCTGTTTAGATCTGTACCCTATTTTTAATTGGGTTATTTGTTATTTTGATGTCTAGTTTCTTGAGTTCTTTATGTATATTGACAATCAGCCCTCTGTCAGATATAAATTGGTGAAGATCTTTTCCCATTCTTTAGGCTGCCTTTTGTTCGGTTGACAGTGTCCTTTGCCTTACAGAAGCTTCTCAGTTTCAGGAAGTCTCTTTTATTAATTATTGCTCTCAGTGTCTCTGATATTAGTATTATATTTAGGAAGTGGCCTCTTATACCAATGCATTCAAAACCCAATCTGAGTGAGGTAACCCAGCCCCAGAAAGACAGACATAGTGTGTATTCACTCATAAGTGGTTATTAGGAATAAAGCAAAGGATAATCATCCTACAGTCCACAATCCCAGAGGAGCTAGGTAACAAAAAGGAACCTAAGAGAGATATACACGGGTCCTACTGGGAAGGGGAAATAGACAAGATCTCCTGAGTAAATTGGTAGCATGGGGGAGAGGATGGGAGGGGGCAGGATAACATGAAAAAAATGGGATGGGCAATTTGGAGGAAGGACAAAGAGGGAAAACAAGGAAAGAGATATATTGATGGAGAGAACCATTATGAGGTTAGCGAGAAACCTGGCACTAGGGAAATTCCCAGGAATTCAAAAGGATGATCCTAGTTAAGACTCTAAGCAATAGTGGAACTATCCTTTCCCTGTTATCAGATTGATGACTATCTTAATTGTCATCATAGAACCTTCATTGAGAACTGATCCATAGCTAAGAACTGTGTTGAGCTCCCAGAGTCGAAAGAGAGGGAGGAGCAATAGTATGAGCAAAGAGATCAAGACCACAATGGGGAAATCCACAGAAATAGCTGACTTGAGCTAGTGGGAGCTCACTGACTCAGGACTGATAGCTGGGGAACCTGTATAGGACTGAACTGGACCCTCTGAACGTGGGTAACAGTTGTGTGGCTTGGGCAATTTATGGGTCCACTGGCAGTGGGGTCAGGATTTATCCTTAAGGCATGAAATGGCTTTTTTCCCTATGGATAGATACCTTGCTTAGCCTAGATACAGTGGGGAGGGCCTTGGTCCTGCCTCACAGTGATGTGACAGACTTTGTTGACTCCCCATCGGAGGTTTCTGAGGAGTGGATAGGGGGTGGGGGAAGTAGAATTGAAACCCAGTGCCATTGTCCTTGGCTTCTCAGCAGCCCTCATTGTCCGCCATATTCAGAGAGTCCGGTTTTATCCCATGCTTTTTCAGTCACAGTCCAGCTGGCCTTGGTGAGCTCCCAATAGATCAGCCCCACTGTCTCCGTGGGTGGGTGCACCCCTCGTGGTCCTGACTTCTTTGCTCATATTTTCCCTCCTTCTGCTCCTCCTTGGGACATTGGGAGCTCAGTCCAGTGCTCCAGTGTGGGTCTCTGTCTCTATCTCCATCCATCTCCAGATGAAGGTTCTATGGTGATATGCAAGATATTCATCAGTATGGCTATAGGATAGGGTCATTTCAGGTTCTCTGTGACACTGGGTTTTGATCCTACTTCATGTTCTGGCTTTGTGGGAGCCTAGCCAGTTTGGATGTCCACCTTCCTAGACCAGGATGGAGCGGGGAGGACTTTGGACTTTCCACAGGGCAGGGAACCCTGACTGCCCATCAGACTGGAGAGGGAGGGGGAGAGGAGAGGGGGGGAGGGGGAAAGAAAAGGAAGAAGAGGGGAAAAGGGAAACGGGGAGGGAAATGGGAGGCGGGGAGGAGGCGGAAAAATGTTTTTTCAATAAAAAATTATATTTAAAAAAACATACAAGATAAAAGCCTGGACTGTTGAAACAATTCAGCTTTTAGTTGTTGTTATAATAATGACTATATTTTCATTTCTACCCCAGAAAATGTTATTTTACTTGAATTGTTTTAAAATAAATAGAAAAATAACATTTTCCCTCTATGATCTCACCCTTTCTGCATTGTCAAGGTGCAGCTTCCCTAAAGTGATGTGGTAACACCCGGTGCTTGGGAAGCGCAAAGGGATCTCAGACAAGTCACCTAATTTTTACCACATGCTTTCTCCAGTCCTCCATAATTCTCAGGGGCACCACCCTGGCCTTCCTGGGAACTTCTCTTAGTTCTCCTCACAGCCTGAGGCTGAGGGAGACTTCCCTCTGTGCTTGTCTTAGTCTTCCTCTGCTGTTCCTAGAAAACGCCTTCAGCAATCTTCAGTAGCATCCTTTAACTGTGCTGGAGATGTCCTCAACTGTGGTGTAATAGCAGACGGCCTTTGGCACTCTTAATTGCTTCCATTGATCCTCCTAGGACATGCCCTCCTCAGGGCCTATTGAAGACTCATTAGATGTCTCTGCCTTAAGAGACCACCCTCATCGTTGTGGTAGGATGCTTAAAAGAAATCCCACACTAGCTTAGAATTGAGAAATAGACATTTATTTAGGGGAAAGACTCACAAATCAGAATCCACTGCTGAAATGGAGATCAGAAATCAAATCCTGCAGCCAGAAAAGAGGCCGGATGCATGCTCTACACTGGCAAAAATAGTATAAGAGGCCATGCCCTGGTGGGCAGGTAACCACTGGCTCTATCTTCTTTTTTGTTTTTTGTTTTTTTTTTGTTTTTATTTTGGGACAGGGTTTATTTAGCACTGGCTGTCCTGGAACACACTTTGTAGACCAGGCTGGCCTCACACTTAGAGATTCACTTGGGTCTGCCTCCCAAGTGCTGGGATTAAAGGTATATACCACCACCACCTGGCTCATCCTCTGCTTTTTTTTTAAGCAGAAAATCCAAAATATTTATATATTAACTCTATAATTACAGTTAGTTTTAGGATACAAAAGATACCTAGTGTCCCAGAGAACAGGGAGATATTAGATGGATACTTTTCCCACAGAGGACTAGCGAAGGTACAGCCCAGTGTTGTAGACTACAGAGGAAACTCACTGTTGAGTCTAGCATGGCAGTGATACCAAGAGTTCTTTTCTCCATATTGCCCCATTATATTTTATTTTTTAAAATTTATTTTTCCATTCAAAAATTTCCACTTCCTCCCCTCCTCCCATTCCC